TATACAGTACTGTATACAGTATGTGTTTGATTTCTCATCAATTTATACTACTGTATAAATTTAATGAATTGCAATAACTTTTATATTAAGTCATGTTTAGGGCCGGGCTATGAGCTGGTAATCATTGCCTAACAAACTATGTAAACAATTTAAATTTAATTTAATTATAATGCAAGTTTTAAATATTTATTTTAGTAACTAATCATGCTCAAAAATAGTTATTTATCATGTTTTAGCCTAACCAAGTTGTAACCCCCATAGATAACACCCCAGGTCTCTACGGCTGAACAAATGAATGCCACAGTAATTATCGATACATAAAAACCTAATCTTTATGTCAATTTAGTTTTTAATAAATGTCTGTTTCAATAAATGAAAGCATATTTTTGTTATTTTAAAGTGAAATACACTTATAATAAGTACGCAAAATACTCAACAATATTGTGTTTTGTAAAAAATAAAAACAAATTAAATTTTAATTAATAATTAAGTAAAATATTTGATTCAATACAAGTCATTGATTATTAAACAAATTAATGGCAAATAAAGAGACAGCAAAACAATGTCTCGTTTGTGGCGATAAGGCTTTTGGTATGAATTGATAAAAAATTATTTTTTTACTTTAATTGTAAATTAGATACAAAATATAATCTCCTATAAGTTATAAATATGCATCGATTAAATAGATATATAATTAATCTATTATTGTGTAATTGAAAGTGAATAATAATTACCTGTGAAACTTTTACTTATATTAAACATTATATAAATTAATTACTTTAAAATGTCTCAAATTATCATAACTTTAATTGGTATTTAGTGTTTAATTTCGGTGTCATATCGTGTCAGTCATGTAAGGCATTCTTTCGGAGGAATGCGCTCAAGAATAAGGTAAAAACAGTATTTTCACTTGCACCATGATCACTTAAATAAGAAATACTAAACCATAAATGTCCACCACATAGACCATCGAGTGTTCATTTGACAACAACTGTAAGATAGATGTGATAACCAGAAAATTCTGCCAAAAGTGTCGGTTAGACAAGTGTTTTGCGCTGGGAATGAGAAAAGTTTGGCATTAATTTACATTAATGTTTTGAATATCTAATATAATTAACTGTTTATTTGTTGCTAACCCTAGGAATGGATACTAAATGACGAGGAATTGAAAACAATGCGGTCAAAAATCGCCGACAACAAGGTGAAAAAGCGAAACCGCGAGCTATACCGGCGGCTAATGGTATCGAAAGCCCCGACACCTGCGCCACCACTAGTGGACAGCACATCATATAAGCGCCACAATCACTACGGCTCGACCGGGGAGTCGCTGAGCGGCGACTCGTCGTCGTTCAGCGACACGTCTAATGGCAAACACATGGGCTCCTCATCGGACAGCTCGGTGTCCGACGACAACAACAACGACGACGACAAACCCGGCGGCGATGAGCGACAACTCGTGGCCGCCGTTGACTACGCCAGGGGTCGCCGGCGGGCGAAACTCAACGCCCAAATCGCCAACATTTACGACACGTATGGCAACGAAAAGCGCAATGAGTTTCGCGAGTCGGTCGCGGGTATTGTCAGACACTGTGCTGACTATAATAAGTCGTTCAATACGTACGAGTGCGACAAACTCAGCGAGATGTTTAAGGCTATCAACTTTATTCGGGAGCCTCCGTTGCCCGAGAGTCCCCGCGTGTCCGATATGGTCAATTTTAAAGTGGCCATGGTCTATAAGCTCGAGAAAGAGATACGTAACTTTATTAGTGTAGCGCAAAATGTGGCCGAGTTTGAGTGCCTGTGCGAGAATGATCGTATCGCCCTGGTCAAATATGGCTCCGTCGAGATTATTTGCATGCGTTTAATACAGTTTTATAATACGGAGGCCCAGTCCTGGACTATTAAGATGGTAAGTAGTCATATTTGATTTAATAATGAGTGTAATTTTATTGGTTTTATTATTTAGTTTAGTTTTTTGTAATATAAAATTGGTGTATAATCTTTATTTAATAAGCATTTTATAAATAGTTTATTAAACTTTATATAAAATAATAAAATTGTAAATCTAGTAAGAATTTTAAACTCAATTATTCACGCCTGATAGGGCACAGATAATTGGATCTTATCCAAAGTGGACATGTTCAAACACGAAGCCATGAAAGTGATCTTTGGCAATTGTTTTAAAAAAATAAGCGATGAATGGGATAGCGATCCCTATATACTTGATTTGGTATTACATTTGTTTTTCCCATCATTTTAAACGCATCATTACATTCATTACATCTAGATTTTGCTTAAAAAATTACTATTTATTTTATTTTTCTCAGATGACAATTATCCTACTCTTTGATCCGAACCGTCCGAACCTTTTGCACCGGGAGGTTGTCAAGTAAGTAGCAAAAACATCATGTTGGTTTAATTTCCAATTTTTAATTTTACAATGAATACAACTATTTTATAGCTAGATTTTTATTATTAATACCCTATTGTTTCTCTATCATAGACTGCAACAGAATATATACATGCATTTACTTCAACGTTATTTAATATTGAAATACCGTTTGGAAGAGAAATCGAGGGCAAAATTTTTGAATCTAATGAACACTTTGGTCGACATTAATATATTGGGCGATATATTCATTAGAAAATGCAATGAAATGCGGACCG